CAACAAGCTAATATTAAATCACCAAACCTGTGAAAGACTATGAATCATGCCACAGGATGCTGTTGACTGGATTATGAAATATCAACTGGTGGTGTACAATGACACACAGATCTAAGCGCTAATACACCATTTATTATTAGGTGAAGATGAACTGAGTCATCTTTAGCCATGTTATATAGACTTTAAACAAGGGATGTCCGATATTTACTTTTTACCGATATCCGATACGCCAATATTGTCTAGACACGATCCCGATACCAACCGATACCGATATATGCAGCCGTTTGCAGTGGTGTGCTGTGTCAGATTTGCCATACATTAGATTTACTTTCACTTCAAAACCATTTTTAGGTCACATCATCTGGGCTAAAACCCAGGCATGGCGTTAGCAGTTTTTCATTATCGGAAAAAAATACTCTTACCGATATTAATGACATAATTATGCTGATAATATTGCTGGGCTGATATTAAACAAAGCTACTTTTAATTGATGACACAGATTAGCCAATCAACCAACATCAGGTGACCAACCAACAATCAACAAAACCAATCGCACAACAAACATTTTCTCTCTGGCCAATCACTGATCTTATTTTTGTGTGTGTGTTGCAGCCTCGTGCGTGTGTCTGTATTGGCGCAAATCACACTAATGGACTTGAAGTCCATGAATCCAAAGATGGCTTCATGTACGTATCATTTATGTTATAAGTTCACAACTTTACAGTCAAGGCTGAAATGAATGGTCTGTGTTATGACAGAAACCTGGAGCAGGCCATCGTAGACGAGAACAACCATCACATCTGGAGGAACATTGGTCTGGCCATGATGAGAGACCCCAGCAACCTGGTGGATGTACGTATAACAACACCTGACCAGACTTTAACCCTTTTAATCTTACGTGTTTCAATACAGGGGATTCTCGGTTTACGACATCCTCGACCTGCGGCGATTTGTGGTTACGTCGCCATCTCCCATAAATTTAGCAAGAAAGTCTTGCTCCATCATTTTGACGCACGGGGTTAAAACAAAATTTGCACAGGAACTAATTGGCAATCAGAGTGGGCGAATCGCTATAAGTGGAAGAAGACGTTAGCATTCTCCAGTTGTACGCCATACATTAGATGGTGCTTCATTCGCTTTCTTTCATTTGTTTTTTTTTTGTTGGGGGGGGCTTTTTGCCCTTCGTTATGACCCCCAGGGGTAATTCAGACATTCCTGATGTCCTATATTATAATGTTACTTTCAGGTGTTAGCGTAGGTGAGTAACATTAGTACTTATGTACAGTGTGCAAGTTCCAACTTAGGGTGAAAAATCAAGTTGAACGTAATTGCAACACAGGTCCTGGACCCACTGTATATCAAAAGGTAAAGCTACTCTTTGTCAACAATGGAAGTTTAAAAAGTGCCATAAAATACTTTTTTCCAAAGTCTTCTGAACATTTTTGAACACGTTTGTTCTCCAAATTTACAACTTCTGTATTCTGCTCATCTACGGATCCTATACAAATTCTTGATTCATGTCTGGTTAGAGAACCAGAATTTTTGAATTTATTGTTTTTTCTTTTTTAACTTCACAGGTCTCTATATAGCACCCCATAATGTTGAGTACAGCCTATGCAGGGTTTCTTTTTATAGCAATCGTAGATTTTGCTAATTTATGATTTTTTTTCTTCCCAATAGGTACAAAGAATTAACTGTCCTGTGTTGCTGGTCAGTGGTCAGGATGATCAGAACTGGCCATCAGTAGAAATGGCTGATGATGTGAGTAAGAACCTGCCACACTTCAAATGTTTTTTTTTAAGTTGAACCTGTGTGAATGATCTATATTAGAGAAGCAGGAAGTTGGAGATCACACAATCTGAGCTGGAAAATGATTTCAGGTAGTAGCAATACAGTGACCCAGCAAATTCAACTCCGCTGGGATCATCTGGTTATGTTCCTTGTCCAGCCCCCCCATCCTTCCCATTCGACACTACTCGCCCCAAACTCAGTAAGGTTGCAGGAGTTGTCCGGGATACATTACAAGCTGTTTTAGTATTGCCCAAGGGTCCAAAGACTTCTGTGGATCCTCATGAGGGTGACCTGGAAGAACCAAATCATCACCCTCAGAGTGTGAAAGGGCAGTTACAGTTTGTATCCCAAAGGAGGCGATATCCACCACCATCAGCCAGTTCAGGAGCATCGCGCTCCTGAATGTCAAAGGGAAGATCTTTTTCTCCAGCTTGACACCAGCTGCCAGAAAGCAGGTGTGCCAGGATTTCCAGGGCTGTCATATGGGAGCAGATCCAGAGAGCAAATAGAGTTTTTTGTCAGGTTCTCAACTATACACCTGCTCCACGACATCAGGGAACTGGCAGAGCAGGGTGGCTTTTGGCTGTGGCTAAGCAGGAAAGAGCTGGCGGCCAAATAAAGCATAACCTAATCACGACAATGCAAATTTACCCGCAATAGTAAATTCCATACATAATAGGCACAACTAATAATAAACTAACCTTAGCTTGAAAAACATAATCAGCAGATTAAGTCAGGAAGTAATGTTAATAAACCTAATAGTACACCCTGGGGCATGATCAACCCCCCCGGGGCCTTCTGAGGGGGATAGTGTCTAGTGATAATGGCCGAAACACTCGATGACCCCAATGTCCATTACTGAAGATGGGATCCACCCCATCCGAAACACTCGATGACCCCAAGGTCCATTACTGAAAATGGGGATCCACCCCATCTCCAGCCCCTTCACCCTGAAGGTAAGTATAAGGATGACCCCACCCTTTGGTCATGCCAAAGAAAAATCATCCTTGAGGTTAGTTGGCACCACTAGTGGCCTGCAGGCCTGCACAAAGGCATTGGTGGAGGTGCGTCAGGCAGCAATGCCTAGCAGGCAGACCATCAGCCTGTATCTTCATAAACATTCATGTCTTATTAACAGCCACATTTCAGGTTTACGATGACGTTTCAGACACTGATTTTTTTTGTGCTCAGATAACTCAAAAGATGCATGATGTGGGGAAAGCTCACCAGTTGACCAGAATAGACTATCCTGATGCAGGACATCTCATCGAACCGCCATTCTCACCTCACTTCAGAGCCACAAACTTTATGGTCAAAGATAAATACAAAGGTGGGTTCACCTCAGAGAGATGTGCAACAGAAATGTTTGATCGTAAAATCATTTATCCTAGTGTCTTTCTTTTCCATTGCTGGTGCAGTCATTGTCCTGTGGGGCGGACAAACCAAGCCTCACTCAGATGCTCAGGAGGATTCCTGGAGGAAGATACTCGTTTTCTTTCAGCAGCATCTCTACAGCATTACCTCTCCCAAAGCAAAACTGTGATTGATCATGTCAGCTGGGCACAGATTAACCACAGTTACACAACACTTTTAACGACTTGCGTAATCATGACTCCTGCACACACATACATTACACACTGGGGATGAGTCCATACAAATTTTTCATATCCACTACTGATACTGCAAGTTTGAGTATCTGCTGATACCGATAACAATCGGGATGTTTATATCAGTTAAGTCGAGCATTTGGGCTTAGGTATCGGATTGGACGGGCTACAGTTGTTTTTTTTTCGATGTTCAATCAGGAAAGTTTGACCAATATCAGATCGATACCAATACTGTGTATCGGATCAAGCCATCACTGGTACATACCATAACACTTTCTTCAGTGACAGCAGCTTTAACTTATTACTGTGTTAAGTTAGTATTTAAGCAAGAGTATTAACTGATATTATCTGAAAAAATGTAGGTATGTCATTATTATGATTATTAAGGAACATCCGCCGTCAGTGTTGGGTCACTGTTCAGTTTGGTCCAACGCTACATGGCCAGTATTTTATGAGCTTTTTTACTTATTTTCTTTACATAATTTTATATAACGTGACCTATTTATGTCAGGAATGCTCCACGTAGGAAAGTGAGGTATCGAGAATAGGAATTTATGCTTCACCCACACACACACCTACACAGGTTTGTCCTCTAATTATAGACAGGTGCTTCCCCATTCATCATAAAAATCACTTCACTTTACGGCACAACAACATAGCTGATCCTAGGTCGAGCCACGTAGGCTTGAGTTGACATGTCTTACACTGAGCAGCGTATCCGAGAATTCACTGTTCCACCACCGCAGAGCCTCTTAGATCTCAGGGTGAGTATCTCTACACAGTCCTGCATTACAACAGTTAGGACTACAGCGTGCACAGTCTAAACTCTCCAAACATTGTCAACTGTAGGTCCACTGATTCTCCTACGTAGCGTTCATAGTTGTCATTATTTTACTGATAGGATCAGAGATATGTGACCTCAGATGATCAGGTGTCACTGCACCACACACTGGCCTTGTTAAGTGTTTGCACTCAGAACACACTCACATATTGCATTATAAACAATTGTTTTTTGTTTTTTTTTTTTACCAGTGACTGCCTTAAAAATGAGTCCAAAACACAGAGGACACTTTTTAGAAAGGCCATCATAGGCCTCACTCAGTCTAGGAGAATTTGCCACTCGGCACGAAAGCTGCACCTTTGGGTTCTTTTCTTCTTCTGGCTGGGGCAGCTTGATACTGTATTAGGTGTACTGGTATAAACAGGTGTAGACTGAGGAACGTCACACCGCTGAAGTCTGTCACGGCCACTGAATACAAGTGACATCACATAAAACAGTGATGATCAACTGGTGGCCTGCGGGCCACTGGCTAACTTCATAACTGGTGGTGGGCTAACTTAATGGTTGTTTTTGGCTAACTTCATAGCTAGTGGCTGCTGACCTAAGGTGTCTGCACAGCCTTTAAAAATGTAAGCAAGCATTTTGAAACAATTGGTTTTCATCAGACTCACAGCAACTCAGTGGAATCAGCAGCTTTACTGGGGAACAGAAAACTCAAAACCTGAATACAGCGCACAACAGATGAGGACAGTTTGCGTGAGTCTTAGAGTAAACTCGAGCTCCATAGTCTTGTTCTTGTGTTTTTCATGAAATCATGTTCAAGACATGGATTTCAAATTCTAACTTCTATCTGTGTCTGAGGTCACCTGTGCAGCATTAGTGCGAGGACTTTGACAAGTAGACACAGAATCGGCGAAGTGATGGGGTAACGAGGCGGAAGCTTCTCCTCGGCTTGTGACAGCCTCAAAAGGTATCTGAGGGAAGGAAAAGATGGAAGGGGGTTTCTGCAGGTACCAGCAAATCAAATATAATGCTTTTTTAATGCCCTTAACGAACTGCAAATACTGTGTGCGTATACTTAGCTAGAAACACATACATGCATGCATCAAATATCCATATCCTACTCTGAATTAAATTGCAAACATTTCATTTGACAAAAATAAAATTAGATATTTTGAGAATCTAAATAATTCACACAGATTGTCCCCTTATAATGAATTTAAATGATGTTTATCAAAACATCAAGACCCAGCAGAAAACCTGTGGAACCCAGTGTGAACACATTCTGTTGATATCAAAATAAAGTATTCCTTCCCATCTTTAAGTATTAGTTGCGTCTGCTGACGAAACCTTACATAACCAAAGGCGCGTTTTTACTGGTTTAAAACATGATGACATAAGACGGAACCCTCTGCAAACCAGTTTTTATCATCATACAAAAACACGATACATTAATACACAGAATGAGTACAGGTGGTAGTTCTCTTTATATATTTTTAATCATAAAAATTATATTGATCCTCTTTATCTATTAAACTTAATTATTATCATTTGTGGTTCGATTAAATTAAAAATGTCAGTATGTTTGTTGTGGTTCTTATACCACATGGTGAAGTCATGTTTTTACCAGGGGTTAATGGAATTTATGTAATAAATAACTTTATCATGACTGGGAACTGTATTTAATTTAAATGAGAAAAATAAACCAACGTAATGAAAGACAATGGTGTCACTTTTTTTTTTATAAAAAATGTAGTTTTATGAAAGACAATGGTGTCACTTTTTTTTATAAAAAATTTAGTTTAAGTGTGTTTTTTTAATCTCTATTGATTTGTTGAGGCTTCTTTTTTCCCCAGTTTTAAAGACTAATTTTTTGTTTTTGGAATGTTAAAGAAAGAACAACCAGGAGATGTTTCATTAGAATTTCTTAAATGATATAATAATATGCTTGTTAAAGTTGTCCTGAAATAATCAGACAACAAACCTGAATTCCTCGCTCAGCCGTGATGTTAGGTGCTGAGCCAGCAGACTGCTGTGCTGCAGACACAGCAGCAGGAGGTGACAGCGCTGGAACAGCAGAACTGCCTGTGTTGGACTCAGAGGCGCCCCCTGCATGTCTGACAGTGCTAGTACCACCTGCTGTGCCTGGTAGATCATGAAGGAGGGCTGCAGGGAAACATTTTAAATAGCAATGTTATATAGGTTCAAATACAAACCTAAAAACAGTTTAGTTTGACCTTTGATCAGTGTGATTACCAGATGAGAATGAGTCTGCAGGACACCCAAGATCCAGCCTGCGGACAACACATCATCTGCAAAGAAACTTCTGTGTATCTGAAACAGAAACACAACCGATTTGTTCTGATTTGGTCAGCCATGTTTATTACAAATCATTTCACAGAAGAAGATTGGGGAAAATGGGAGTGAGGTGTCACGGGGGGCGCAAGAGGGGACTTTAATTATACAGTTTTTTTTTTTCATGCTTGAAGGATAAACAAGGCCTCCACTCACTAGATGGCAGCAGAGCAGACTTTATTAATGTATGCAGAATGATGGTGCCAGCAACTCATACAGTGGTTTGTATAGATAAATGAATAACTATTTCCAGGTGCGAAACACTGACTTAAACAAACCTCATGTCCAAGAAGCAGCAGCTCAAAGAGCAGCGAGCAGGCGGCGTCTTGATACTCTGACATCAGCACCTGGAACTGACGAGACATTACAGCTGTGAGGTTTTACTTAATAATTAAGAAAAACTATTTTTTTGTCATAAATACACGTGATCAGCTGACCTCTGAGCCAATCACAGAGCTCTGTGTTTGCGGCTGAGGGTCACAGATCAGGGCAAGTAGCATCCTGGAAACGAGGGTGCCGCTGCGGTCAAAGTAAACAACATCGATACCAGATTTGTACTAGAGGAAATGACTAATGACTAAATATTTCAGTTGCACATACTCTCTGTAATTAAATATACATTAAATGATTAGAAAAATGCTACAAAATGAGTGTTTAGGCTTGAAAACTGCTGTGTAATGTGTAGCGAAACAATGAAGACAAAGACATCTGTAGAGAGAGGAGCGTGAATTCACAAAGAGTGTTTGGAGTAAAGGCGCAGACAGACAAAGACAGAAAGGAAATCAGGCACAAAGGCATCCACACAGCAAACAGCCATACTTGTTTGAAGAAAGCAGGCTAAGTTTTGCAGCCTCGTTCCTCGTCTCCGCGAACATGACTGTGAGCGTCTCCACAATCATTGTCCTGAGACTGAAAACACAAAACAGTTACTGACAAAGGTGTAAATAAAAGATATATTTTAAAAGGATATTATTTAAAAAATATATATCTATAGCTGAATATAATAAACTATGAAGTTAGCGAAAACACAAAAACTATGAAGTTAGCCAAAACAACGACGTTAGCCAAAAACATCTATGTCTGTCAAAAAACAACTACTATAAAGTTAGCCAAAAACAACAACCATGAAGTTAGCCAAAAATACCTATGAGGTTAGCCAAAAAAACAACAGCTATGAAGTTAACCAGTCTTAATCTTTATTTAAAATGTTTCAAACTTCAAACTTGAATTTTAGCCCACGAGCTACAAGCAGCCTGCTAAAGGTGTTTAATCCAGCCCGATAAAATTAAAAAAATATACAAACACTTCACGTTCACACACACACAGAAACCTACAGCATGTGATCAGGTGTGTAGACTCCACTGAGACTCTGACAGCTGTTGAGATTCTCCTCCAGAGTCTGCACCAGGAAAGCGCACAATTCACCAGACTGTGAACCAAAACACACACTCAAATTTCACATCTTTTGGTTCGTCACGTTAATTTTTTTTTTAATACAGAAATTCTGCGTCTCACCCTCCAGAACAGTGTGGGCAGCGTGAGGTTACGATGAGCAGCAGTGTTCAGTTCCTGCAGCAGCAGATACAGACCCTCAACACTGAGCTGATCCTGCAGCAGCTCTGAGCTGAGCTGATTGAAAAGCTGACAGGTTCTCTCCCAACCGTAAATATATACAAAAACAAACTAGGGTCAGATACGAAAGAATATACCTATTCTTATCATTATTAATAGTTTTATTCAGTATTGATATATATTTCTATATATATATCAGTATTGATGTACAGTACATATAAATATATAAGAATATATACATATAGGCTTATATATACACATATATATAAATTATATATATCGGCAAAAAAGTTCATTTTTAATTTTTAATATTCCTAATAAATATGAACATTAGCCAGATACTGTTACTGACCAAAGAACAGGTCAAAAGTTGATTAGCTTAAAAGAGCTTAAAGATAGTGTAAGAATCATTATCGGGGGAAATCCGCTAAAGATACTTACCGATATTACATAATCGTTTTTTTCCCAGAGTGAAAGTGAAACTATTATTAGTATTGTGCACAGCATTGACACTGTGACAGAGCACACCACTACCTTTAACCCAAACGGCTGCATATTGTATATCGGAATCGGAAAATAGTTTGGTCAATATCGAATATCGGCAAAAAAGTTAATTTTTAATTTTTAATATTCCTAATAAATATGAACATTAGCCAGATACTGGTACTGACCAAAGAACAGGTCAAAAGTTGATTAGCTTAAAAGAGCTTAAAGATAGCTGAAACAGAATGTTAGCAAACACTGTGTAATAACAACACTGTGTTTGTTGTTACCTGAGGACAGGGCGTTGTTTCCTACGAGAGGAGTGGGCATAAATGCGACACTTTCTCCTGTACACCGGGTCCAGCAACAGGGTGGACCTCTGAAAACGCATACAAGACGGGAACAGTCCACCAATGAAAACTCACAGCTGCACGTTCACACAATGAATTCAACAAATTGCGTGTAGCGAAGCTCAGTGCGTTTTACGATAACGAATCTGCTCCACGAGCTCCGCAGCTGCAGGTAAAATCTAGACGTCTGTGACACGATGTATAGATGCAGCTCTGCCTCCCGCTCCTCCCCGCTGCTGCCAGTGTCTCCATCATCTCTGTGTAGGAGACGCCTCAGAGCGGAACTGATCCTGTGTGGGACCTGAGACATGACAGGGACATTTATTTTATCACCATAAAATCAAGGGCTCAAGTCTTTGCTATCTACATGGGGTCCTCGGTGTACGACGTCCTCGACCTACATTACATCCACATCTCCCATAAATATATTAAGAATGTCTTGTTCCATCGTTCCAGATGAATACATCGCCATGTGACGCTATAGGCAGATGACGGCTTTGTTTATAGTCGCCGGTTGTACAGCATACATTGGGCTGTGCTGCATTCACTTTCTTTCGTTGTGTTGTTTTCTTGGGAACTTTTTGCCCTTCATTATGGCTCCCAAGCATAACTCAGAATCTTCTGATGTTTCAATGTTCTAGATTATGATGTTACCACTGTATTAGCATAGGTGAGTGACAGGGAGTTGTGTAAAGGAAGGAAGGAAAGTGAACTTGGGGGAGAGCACCTCAGTGGTGACCTGGCAGCTGGTGGTCTCCAACCTGAAACCTTCCAGACCAAAGTCCGCTTTCTCAGCCACCAAGACACCACTGCCCCTGCTTCTTGGACATTTTGTTTTTTCAAGTCAGTGTTTCTCAGTTATTTTCTGCCACAGACAGTATGCGAGTTCTGACTTACAGCAAAAATGGAGTTACATCACGTTATAGGAATGGAATTCTAATGTAAGTCGAAGACCCCCTTTATTCTAAAGGTTTTCTGTTCACTTGTTTATCTCAGTATTGGACAGACCATTGATTCCAGCCCAAGGGTAAGCAGTCTCAGTCACTTATTTTGTCTCTGGACTTCGGTGTAGGAATATCGCAATTTCCACCATAGACACGCATGGAAATCAAGACGATCTTACATTCTCAATTACACCTCCTAATAATACCACCAGTCTGTACCTGAGTGCTCTTTAAGGTCTTCGATCGTTGGTCTCTAGGTGTCAGTAGTGAGGCGGGGGGGCTGGTGGTGGAGTAGAGCAGTGGGTGGTTCGGAGGGTGAGGGGTTCTGAAGAGGTTCAAAGTCTCAGGGTCTAGAGAGGAGATGACGTGGGTTGACGTAAACTTCCTGAGCTCCTCCGCGCTTCCTTCACTGAGGAGAAAGATTTTACTTTTTAATTAAATACTTTTTAAATCGTCATGTTTCAGTATTTTATTCCCAGGTAATGAATTAAACAAACATCGCTTTTTCTTTTTTTTTTATTGTTATATTATTATGTGTATTTTTTTGTTGTACTGTGTGTGTATGACCTCTTTTATATCAAACTATTGATGTTACATATCACAACATATCATTAATGTTTCTTCACAAACCTGATTCATAACTCGGGTCACATTTTGGTTCTTCAGAACTTCATTCATCATTTGTGTGTTTTTGGGTCTTGTTTCCGTACCTCCTATGTCAATCATGTTCCTGGATCTATCCTTAATCTAGGTTTTCTAGCACTTGGTTTCTAGTCTCATCAACAGTATGTTTCCTAGATATATTTTATATTTTTTTGTTGATTTTTCCTCTTTTTTCTTTGCTTCTTCTTTCTAGACTTCCATGTTGTGTTTTTTTTTCTACACTTCTACACAGTTCTTTTTTTTGCCATCTTTGCCTGTTTAATTGTTTTCCATCTCTACCACCAACATACCAGCTGATTAATCAGTCTTAATGAGTAGCAGGACAACTGAGGTGAAACTCTTCCCTCCATTAAGTGAATAAATCATGAGTTACCCGACACACTGACGCATTGCATCTCACAGTGATTCTACAGGTAAGAAGTTCACTTGAGACGCGACAGGAAACATATAACCTCATCAAAATTTAAAGAATCACCCCTTTTTAAAACTACAAAAAAACTAAAGTAATTCCTCCCAAAGTTCCTGTAAATAAACTTTAACACTTAATCTTCCTGCCATCAAAATCCTGCCGATGTCAGTGTATCAAACAGCAGTGAACGGTTTTGAGGGTTTGTCCGTTTCCTTGACTCTAGACATGACCAGTGTTGCCATAGTTACTTTGAAAGAGTAATCTGATTACTCTGATTAATCACT